AGCGATCTTTGCCGCAACCATTCACCCTTCTCATAAAATTGGGCTTTGGATCCCTGGAGGCGTAGTGATGGTAACATACGTTGGTGCCAGCACAGCAACACCAGACGAAATCCCATCCACCTCTGTACGTAATGCTGGCGCATACATCCAATGATAGCCCAGCTGCCGCAATCTCCTCTCAAGCCCAGGTAGTGCAGCTTCATCAGCTTTGTGCTCTTGAACCAACACTACTGCTGATCTGCACCCTTCCATATACCTGAGCAGAGGCCCCGCATTGTTCGCGTTAGTGGTGGTCACGACCCCCTTAGCAACCAGAGAGTCTTCCCCACTTTGATTTTGACCATTGATTCTTCCTGAGCCTGGCCCAGCAGAAGGTGGCGTTGAGGGGAACTTCATACACTGGAGTGCGTCACGATAACGAGCCGCCTCATCATCACGTGTCATACTATGGGGGGCCTCAGCTGTACACGTGCTCCCTGCCATTGTAGTAGTCGTCGCCATATTCCATGATCGGTTTACCATGACAACGAAGGCCATCCATTCAAACCGGTGTAAACACCTGGCGCTGCGGGCCTTGGCCCCACGTGAAGAGCCTGTTGGCCGCCTGCCGAACCTCCTCCTCGGTCGCCGACCCCCCGATCAGGACCCCCACGGCTCCAAGATGTTGCCGTAGAACCTCGGTGTCTGCCTCTCGGACCGACGGGGCGTCAGGTATCGACCCCTCAACCTCAGGTGCAGGAACGCGAGCTCCGCCAACGTCAGCGCCGCGATCCAAAGGGAAAGCAGGCTGTGCAACCCCTCCTACTGTAGAACCAACCACTGCCACTGATGCGCCTGTGACCAAGGAAGGTAGCTGACGAGCGATCTCCTCGGCCATTGGCTCGGCCGCTTCGCCTGCTCCGAGCTGCTTGGGGATGCGCCCCAATGCAGAGCAGTCGAGGCCGAGCGCTGTCATGGGATCCGCATGTGGGGCCCACGGGCCCCTCCCTCGGAGGGCTGCACCGCCGCCTTGGCAAGCTCAAGCTGTCGGCCAGCTCGCGTTGGGATACCTGAAGCACTGCCTGCAATTCGCTGATATGCTGTGCCTGCTTCTCGATCGCCAACTTGGCCTGGGAAATCTTCTGGGGCTCTTGGTAGAGCTGGCGATTGATCTGGAACATCTGTGCGGCAGCGGGCTTGAGAGCGTGGGCGCGCTGCTGTCGGTCATCCTTCTCGCTGCGCAACGCAGCCCGTAATGTGTCCCAATGCTCCCCCGCTCCTTTTGCCGTGCCAAACTGCTTATCGAGTTCGTGAATCCTTGCTCTGGCCTGGCCTTCATCCATTGTCTTCCCATGATCAACCGCCATATCAGAAAATTACCCTGCGACGCACCCAACCCACGTGCATCAAATGGCAAGAGGAGTATGCCAACATTAGCAGGAACAACGACAGTGTAGACGCGGCGATCTGCTGTGCAAGCTACATGGGATGCGCATGCGTTGCACGATTCACAGGACGACGATCGAAAGAACGAGGCTTGAGGCCCCAGGATCGAAGAAGAACGGGTACGGGAACGAGGGGTAGGAGAGGGATGGAATGGAGGGCGGGGGGGGGCGAAAGGCCATCGCGGAAGCAGCAGCATGCATGGAGAAGGTGAGGCGGGGAATAGGACGACGATGAAAGTGGCGGGAGGAGACAGAAGACTGCCGCGTTTTTCAAGTGCGAGCTAAACCCGCAGCGCTGCCTGCGCCATGTCGTCGCAGAGTTCCACATGATAAAACTTGTTTAGAGTGCAAGGAACGAGCGAGGCGTAGCTCGCCCGCTAGCTTCTCCGCCTCCTTCCCGCACATTTCAGCGCGGGAGCTGAACGCTCGCAGGCGCGCCGCCAGGTCTGCGGGCGGCCCGCGGGAAAGAAACTCAAGGCCGGGGTCGCGTATCATCAATCGGTTGTCCATCGTCCAAAGTTGCACTGGCGACGTACTGGTTGAACGCGGAGCGAGCAGCATCACGCGCGTGCCTGAACGCCACGCAGGTACAGTGCACGCGCGATTGGGACTTCAGGTCGATCACGCGCGTCTCCACCAGGCTTGGCAACACCACGCGACTGAGGATCTCACTGCGGTCTGCCATGCTGCTGTCCGCGAATGCAATGCGCTGCCTGCAAGTAAGGCGGCGGCGTCCACTTGTCTCAGAAGATGTTCCCGCGGGCCCGAAGGGCGACCGCCAGCTCGAGCCGCGGCGCCGGCAGGCCAGATAAGGATCATGCAACAGCAAAGACGATGACAGAGCAACGAGGCATCGGCGAGTGCATGACCGGCCTCCGTTTCCTGCACTTCTTTCCTGTAGTTCCCCTAGCTCATCGAGCTCAGCAGATGTTTCTGCGGGTCCGAAGGACGACCGCCAGCTCGAGTCGCAGCGCCGACGAGCTGCATCCACATCAGGTATCACCCCAGGAGACACTGGCACACAACGATTTGACGTCAGTAAGTGCCAGACCACTCCATGACTAGTTCCTCGCACACATACAGTCGATCGCAGATGCGGGATAATCGAAGTAGAATGACGGGTCCAATCTGC